TTTTGAAAAGATTTGTAAATAAGATGTATATATATTAAACAAATAAACAAAAATATATTATTTTTTTATAATAAATTGCGAATTTTGAAATCCAGTCGTCTGATGGCCGATTGGCTAGCGCTCGTGTCTTTGGTATCTCAGGTACGAATCCTCTAGGTGGCAGGGGATGTTTGTGAGTGGTTCGGAATCCACGTTAAACTGTAGATCTCGGTCTAATTACCCTAAAGTGGGCAAAAAATGACAGTAGAGAGACAAAATTAACCTTAATCTAACGAAAAATATGTTAGTTTGCTTCTTCTTATTAAAATTATAAACTCCTGATAGTTTAGATTTTTTTAAATACCAATATATTTAAATATCAACCAAGAAGGTTAAATTAAACAATTAAAATTTTAAAGTAATATTGTTATCCTATAATAACTTAGACAATGAATAAAATAAATTTCATTTTTCTTTTTAAATTGATAAACAAATTGTTCAAAGTTTTCTAGAAAAACTAAAATTTATTGTTGTGTAATAAAAGTTTGAGATTTGTTTTAGTTTTTCCCTTTATTTAATTTTTGTTTCATTTATTGTTTTATATCTTTTGTGTGCTCTATTTTTCGTTGGACAAGGATTGGGTCCGGTAAGAAGGAAATGTTGAGGGCTCCAAATTGAGCTAATCCGGCCCTGTATATATGTGTGTGTGTGTGTGTGTGTAAGTGCATGTCAGTGTGTACGTGCACATGCAGGCAACAAGTTAGGTTCCTGAGTTTGACCGAAACATACTAAATCTTCGGCGTACTATAAGCCTCAATCTCCAGTATGGAACAAAATGATTCCAACAAGCATAAACAAAAGAGAATAAAAAAAGATAAAGTTTAAAATATCTTTCAGAAAATGGAGCCTGCCTTCTCGGTATTTTCTCGATTATTCTCTCTTTCGATTTGTGGAGGGTGGATGGAAACTCGCCTTCTTTTTTTTCTCTTTAAATTGCAAACATTGCATTGTACTATATTGTTAATTCGGAAACGTTATATTAAATTGTAAATGTTGTGTTATTGTATTCGTAACATTTGTTCACAAGGAAATATTGTACCATAGTATTTAAATTGTAAGTATTGTTATTGCAGTTTTTAAATCGTAAAATATTGTATTGCAGTAATCGAGGCCCAAACTTTGTTCATATCCGTACTTGAAATAATTTCCTACTATATTGGTGTTCGATTATTAACCTCGACGAGAGTAAAGTCGTAAAAACTCGAAAAGATTATAACTGTGAAAGATATTGCGATATTTTTTTGTGCTATAGGATATTGCAAAGAATGAAAACTCTGGAAAATGCAATATTAGCTCAGTGTGTTTAAAATATGGAAGTCCTCCCATCTACCATAAACATTAGAATGTTTTCAACACATTCGCAACAACATGTTGCTCAGTACCATAGACCAATCCTATTTCAAGTTTGGTACCAGAGATTTGAAAATTTCTTAAGCTCTTCGAGTGTTGACTCCAGTTGGTGAAGAGCTCTGACATCCAAACCTGTGTACACTTTTCACATCCCCTCGGAATGATTCGAAGGCTTCAGGTTCGAATACTGGCAGTGAAATGGATGTTTATGGGTGGTTCGGAATCCACGTTAAACTAGGTCAAGGTCTGTTTAGCCCAAAGTGTGCGCAGGATGACGGTAGAGCGATAAACCAAACCAAATCGGAATGATTCGCCACTACTTTTCACCAAACTGGCTGCTTCTGGTTCGCCATCGTTTGCCGGAAAAAACAGCCCTTTATCAACCAAGCCATTCCAGTCCCTTGAATATTATATAAAAGATTTGAAAATCTTAATTTAACCATGGGCATGTTTCTAAATGAACAACATGGAAGGCTTTTAAAGACATTGCTAATTTCCTTTCGAAAAATTAAAAAGGAATATCACTTTCAATTTCACTCAAGTTCAATGGTTTCGCCCAGTATGAGCATCCAAATATTCAAGTGCGGATTTGATGCTAGCGATCCGACACAAGCTTCTGCTCTGCAAATCAATCATTAGACCGATTCTTGTTCATGGGAGTACAATTTGGGTCTTAACCTCCAATATTAAGTTTGGTTTGATTTGTCGTTCTACGGTCATATTGTGCAAACAAGGGCTAAACAGACAGGAATCTAAAATGAAAATGGAAGTTAAAAAAAATTTCAAAATGAAATAAAAATAACAAAACATCAGAATTTTTTGGTTCTGAGAAGGTGCTTTTTTTTTTTTTTTTTTCCCCTAGCGATTTTGATCTGTGTTCCTGTTCATCTTTATCATTCAATAATCATGGCTTCTGCGATTAGTCGCTACTTGTATAGAATTTTTTAACTTAATTTTTTTATTTCTTTATTTTGATTATCATTTTTTTATCTTGCTTTTTATTTTCATAATTAAGTATCTTTCATTTTATTTTAAGTACCATTTTAACTTTAAGAAACTACATATTTTACTTTGCTAATATTTCAAGCAGCCTACTATAAATTGTGACTTAATATTATTAATTAAGATGAAGAGGTTAACGGGTATTATCCCCTTTGGTACTCTGTAATCAGCACGCCACGTTTAACGGTTTTTCCCATTGTATACAAACACAAGTGCCTGTATCTCCCATTTGGATAAGATAAGGCCATGGCACAATGCAGACTTCAGGTTAGATAAGAGAAAGCAATAAGTGTTCCCAGTATTGACAACATGATAAGCGAGTTTCGTTTATCACTGATAAGCTATAAAAAGTTTATGCGAAAAACAAGATTTTTTTTTAAAAAAGGAAACAAATAAATCTCAATATTTGAAAAAATACTTTATTCATTGTTTTTATTTTGATATCATTTATTAGATAAGAACTTTTATCCATAGGCTGTAAGCCCGGAAGCAAAGTTCCTGAATACGTTATTTTTTTTTACTTATTTATTTATTAAACTTACAAAAGAATCACATTCCTGTTGGATAACCAGACATTTTAGCTATCCAAAGCTGAATGTTTGTTTCAAGAATTCATTGCATATTTTATGAGATATGCAATGGTTCATTTTAAAAGGGTTGTATAATTCCATTTCATAGGATATGTCAAGAATCTTGCATAGCTCTCAATAAAGTAACAGTAATGAACTAAAATGAGCAAAGTTTATTTCTTTTTTTAATCTATGTAAATTTATGGACAAACATTTTTAGATATGATTTAAAACAAGTAATACTCAAAAAAAAAAAAAAAATTAAAAGTCAATTCCTAATTTTTTCACACTCTATTGCAGAAAGTCCTTTATAAATAATTTTCATTCATTTTTTTAAGTTTATTTGGCGCCCTCGATTGGTAGATATATGCAACTTAAATCTAAAAAAAAACTAAAATTAATGAATTAAATTTAATGAATGAATGAATATTTGAAAAACTGTATTAACATCCAGTGTCATCCACTACAAGTTAAAAAAAAAATGCATTCGAACTTGAATGGATGAATAAAAAGTATTTTACTAACGATTAGAAATTTGAACAAGATATATATAGGGAGAGTGTGAGCTAATAGAAGGAATTGAAAAAACGAGAAACTATCAACACCCACAACAAAATTAATAACTAAACTAATATCTATATATAGCCTCGTTTACCACCCCCTCTCTCTTATGTACCGGAGTTCTGGTTATCTTGCCATGACGCTGCCATCCAGGTGGAAGGGCGGTTAATAGAGAGGTTAACCTTATAATTGGAAATATAGGGCGTCTAACACTACCCCCTTCACATATTTGTAATAGCACCAATACGAGCAACAAGCTTAACAAACACTAGCCTCTATGACACTTAGCAATTTTTTCTATGAATAAAAAGCGTTCACTAGACGACTCAACATTAATTACACTTCTTTCAGTTGTCTGTATTCCTTTTGACCTAGATACGATGAAAACTCATTATCTTTCTATATATTTCTGAACTGGTTTCAACTTTACATATTGTTATCTTTATTAATTAATAAACTGTGTAAAAAGACATATGACTCTTCAATTTCTTGAAAGCATCACCACAACTTGCCGCAGCCTCCCTTCTGCTACATAGAATAGCCAATAATAATAATAATTATTATTATTATATATATATTATGCATCTATATAAATAAATATAACAAGCTAAATTTCAATTATAAAATAATAGAAAGTTATTCTGTTTCCTTCATGTTATCGGAATATGTCGCTGGATGCATTTTTGACTTGGAATCAGTCATATTTCAAGAAAAAAAAAAAAACATGTTTTATATGATTACAAATGTATCATTCCTTGAAAAAGCTATCTTTAGGTATTATAATTAATTTCTATTGGGTTTTTTGCTGACATCTTGGGCAATACTGTTTCACGTCCTGTATTTTGTATAATTTTTTAGGTGTCCTTTCTTATCTGCCAATGCAGTTATACTCATTCAACCTTTTTGATATTTGGGATCTTCATGTTTTTCCAGTTTCATTCCAGAGCTTATGCGCACTACGAGTCTTAAATAATTTTTTTTTAAAAATTATCTGAATGAGAGGGTTTATGCATAGCAGAGGCTAATTATGATTTTGTTGTACAAATTGATTGTGCTTCTGTGAAGTATTTGAAGATGTACGCGCAGCGAATACTATTGTGGTTTTTGTTATGAGAATCTGATATATGATAAAAACTGATCTATATATATATATATACTGATCTATATATATGTTTGTTGTTGTTGTTTCTTATCCCACTTGGCTGGCCAAGCCCACGAGCCCATACGTACTCATGATTGAAGGGGAAGGAAGCAGCTTCTGTTGTGATGGAGCACCCGTAGGTAGAAGTCTGACTTTGGCTCCGTGACGCTCTTACAGTTATAGGAGACATGGACCTACGGCTTAAAGGGGATTCTGAACCACTACAAACATCCATGGCACTGCCGGCATTCGAACCCGAAACCTGTGGCACCGAGTGCCAGAGCGCTAGAGTCAAATAGATTCAGATTCACAATTCAGATCCCAAATTTGTGAATGTCAACGGCACGCGGTGTTCCAGGTGTTCACCCACCCAAGTACTGACCGCGCCCAATGATGCTTGACTTCGGTGATCTAACTAATAACTATATATATATATATTACAAAATCTGAAAAAAAAAGTGTCAACCTGTCAAATGTTTTTTTATAGTAAAATCGGACACTAGCTAAAACAGCATGCAGTCAGTGGACTACAGTCCGTGTTATAAAAATAAACGCAGGATGATTCAACGGTTATGGAAGAAAGTCGAGATGTGAGGCAACTTACTAGAACATGCATTTTTTGTATAAGAATGTAGGCTTAGAAGTAACGCTTTGTTGTTCGAACACAAAAAATGAGACACTAGATGTAAAACGTTTATCGGCACCATCACTGCAAAGTGCTTCTTTGATTCAATGTTTATAATAGATGCTCAAATTTGAGATCACCCGCAGTCATTCATGCTCGGCAATTTCCAAGGAATGATGGCAACAGTTCTAAAGATGTCACGCTTTTCGCACAACCTGCAACCGCAATGGACAGTCGAGCAAACGAGGTTCCTCCATTGAGTCAACTGGAGTCGTAATGAGTAATGGAGAGTAAATGAAAGCGCGGATTGAGAATCAAATAGAATACGCATCTATTTTTATTTATTGTACGTATATAGGGTCTACACAAATTGCCAGGCTGAGGACTTGAAACTTGTCACGTGATGGGTATCGTTTGGGGAATTGTGCCTTTTAAAATAGGCACGTTGTTGTTGCTTTTGAAAGTGTGTTCGTTCCTCAACACGTCACTTTTTTTCTGTACAGAAAATGTATGTTCTAGTAAGCTGTGCTACGGTTGACTATATATGCAAAAAATGTTGGCAACTTCATTTGTGATTGGCGGCCATCTTTAAGACCCAGCAATCTTGAGATTAAACAACCAACAATCAATAATAAGATATATACAGTGGTCGTTTTTCTATAATAAGATAGTTGTAACACCGTTCATGATGCCGAACACATGGGATAAAAGAACATTTACTGTACTGGTTTTCTCCCTTAGGACACGCAAATACTAAGAGTTTAATCCTAAAAAGTCTTTCTGGAAGGCAATGTCTTCCCTCCACTATCGTTAGTGGTTACATTAGTGAAACATAATGAGAACCATTTTATGCAGAGAAAAAAGTTAAGGATGGGTTTTCTTATTAGTTTATGTTTTGTTAACAAATTCAATATTCACTCATGACTTTTCGTTTCATTTCCAAAAAAGGGGATTTTTATAATCTATTACTGAGAATGTTTTTATTTTAAGTAGAATCATTCTTCTGTTTATTAAAATAAAATAATTTAAATTAATCTCTAAAGTTTATCAAGTATATAATGAACGAAAACGCGGGATTTAAGGAGGGAGGGGTTGGGGAATATTCTGTTTTATTCAGAAGTGTGGTGGCAACGCGATATAATACCTTGTGGCTTCCGAAAACTGAAATGTCTGAAAATTGCTGTCTTAGTTAAATTTTGAATCAAATTATCAGATACCTTGAATGACCAAAAATTTATATTCCATTAGACAACGTTATTTCTATTTTGCTGTATTTTTAGATTTTGAAAAGTTGTTATAGAACGCTACATATTTATTCATTAAAGAAGGCATATTTTATTCATTAAATTTTCTGAACGAGAAGCGTCTGTGAATTTTTGGTGTTAAGTTTTATAAATTACAAATATGTTTTTAAATTTCAGGAAAATGAATTCGATTGGGACAGCATTTCTCTTGGCGATTGTTGTGTCTACTGCTGTCGCCAGTCGCTCTTTCTACACTGCGGCTGTGTTTGAGCACACCGGACTTGCATCGAAGAACTACTCTACTGGCGCCAAAGTCGCCAAAGAATCTTTATTTCTACAAAAGAGCAGCCGAAGTCGCCGCTTTTAAGGTAGAGATTGCTCAAAATTAGTAATGTTGAAAGTGAAATATGTACAGAGCATGCTGTACATAGACATACTGTACAGAGCATAAATAAACTTCACCGACAAACGTATAAGACTTGTAGCATGCTTTAAAAGGAACAAAAAATGCAATAGGGCATGGGATTGCAAACGATTGTGTGATTAAAAATAAGAAAAACAAGTAATATAAAAAAATTTTAAAGTCAATTCCAACTTTTTTTTTCTATACCGCAGAAAAGTCCTTTACAAATAAAATTGAAATTTTCCTCTTACATCTGGCGCCATCTGTTATTAAATACATGCAACTTAAATCTAAAAAACACTAAAATTAATTAACTTAATTTAATTATTGAATTAATATTCGAAAAAAACTGTATTCACATCCAATGTTATCCACTACAAGTTAAAAAAAAATGTATTTGAACTTGAGTGGATGAATAAAAGTATTTCATTAATGATTGAAAATGTGAACAAGATATATATAGGGAGAGTGTGAACTAATAGTAGGAATTGAAAAAAGAAAGTCGGTGAGAAAAGAACCAGAAGAACCAGATGTTTGTTGAATCCTTGGTGGTGTCCTCTTTGTCTGTTACTGATGACTGTGGGTCGCAGCATCCTAGTTTTCTGAAGAACATCCAGATATGCTTCCTGCTTCACCTGCTTACATGCAGAAAGAAATGTAGTTTAGGTCATGTGTATCCATGCGCAAAATGGATGGACATGAAAGAAACCAACGGATGGACCTTATGGAATGTCGCTTGCCGGTCCTTAACCGCTTGACTTCTCCTGAAATCCCTCTTTTAAGAAACACCTCTTTTAGGGAACACAAAAAAAAATCTGATGTCGAAGATCCGGGACCACTGCAGCTGAACTCTAGTGAACACCTGGAATCTTCGAGAGTTCCCATCAGTCCTTGTCGGAAAATTTAGCCGAGTGCCGCGGTGTGGAGTATAGAAGAAGCAAACATTATTACACTTTAATAAATTTAAGAAAGTAAATTTTATTATACATAAAGGTAAAAAGATAAAAACTTTACAAAACCATACTTTTGGTTTTAACTTAACTTATCCAGATCAAAACATGTTACCGGCAACCAGCCGACCCTCGAGCTAACAATACTTGATTTACATATCAATGTATACATCCGCGTCCGACGTCACGACCCATCACATGCCTCCTTCAGCATAGGACGTCGGATCCGAATGCAAAACGAAAGAGAAATATTTGCATGATTCCCAATACTTTTTGAGCAACAGTTTCCGCGTCTTTGGGTCCTATGCAATAAAGTCGAGTTATTCTAATCCGACGAGCTATATTGAATATCTACTGTAACAGTTTCGTTGGTTATGTGCATCCCAAGCTGTGCTATACTTGTCCAATAAATGTTGTCTGTACTCATTTCTTTTTGTTTTGTTCCTATTACTTTCTGCTTTGCAGATGAATCGTCGCGTCACCTACTCAACGTCATGTGCAATCCCCATGTTTCATTATGTGCATCACAAGCTGTGTTGTACTTTATGTTGTCCAATAAATGTTATCTCTACTTATTTCTTTGTTTTGTTTCTACCACGTCACACTTTGCACGTGCCTTCGCGACTTTCACCTACCAACGATCATCATCATCTGCGATCCCATGTTTCATTTTTTATTCGTTTCGAGGCGTTCTATCATCATTCTAACTTCGTTGGTTGTGTTTGTATACACCCTGTTTATGATTTAAAAGATTTAATTATTTATAGGCAATATTCATTGTGTAAACTTCTTGAATCTCCGATGTCAAAACACGAAGCACATTTACTGCAAGAAAATTTGACCATGAATAGATTTCTATAAACGCTATGAATATTATATTCAAAGCAATAGATTCGAAAAGATATTTTTAAATAAATTTGTTAATCTAAAAAAACATTGTTTAAATAAATTTGTAATAAAATTGTTTAAATAAATTTTATTTTACCGTTTTATCAACTGGTATACTGATTTCTAATCAAATAAAAAAGTATTTTTATAATTATGGATGAATTACGTTATGAATTCAATTAAACACTGTTTATCCTTTACTTTTCAGCAAGCTGACGTCATAGTATTTTCGAGTATGGAATCCTTCCTTACGCTTCCAGACAGCACATGAAGCCCTTTTAGAAAATGTTCCCCGATCCTCGATCTGTAAAAGCTAATCCATGCTCGCAACCGGGACAGTATGCTGACAGACCCATTCTTTACACCCTAAGTTGTATTGCGCAACATAATTCTGTATATGTTGTTGCCAATATGGGTGACATCCAAAGTTGTGAAGGAGATCCCGATTGTCCTTCAGATGGCACTTATCATTACAACACCAATGTGGTTTTTGACAGAAGTGGCAATCTTTTGGTGAAATATCACAAGGAACATCCCTGTATGGAGTTTGGTATTGATATACCAAAAGAAAAACAAGTACCGGTTTTCAAAACAGATTTCGGTAAATTTGCCACTTACATTTGCTTCGATATTGTGTTTAAAAGAATGAGCGAAGCAGCTGAATGGCCGTCGGTGGATGGTATCATGTTCTCCACAATGTGGGAAGACGCTTTACCACAATTTGTCTCAGTTCAATTTTTTTCAAGCGTGGGCCATGGGACACAATACCACATTAATAGCAGCAAACGGCCAAGTGCCTGTCGTAGGCACCACTGGAAGTGGAATCTTCCACGGTACTGATGGAGCGTTGGCGTATACTCAGCAGATGGTATTTCCAAACTAGTCGTTGCCAGAATAGCCAAACCCGGAGCAGCTAAAAGTGTCTCCGAATGCAAGCATCACAGTTGTCACTGCCAACGCCACCTGGCCATATACTGCCCGAAGACGGTAAAGATGTTCCAAGCAGTTGTTTTCCCAAAAAGCGGATATCACTGCGTGAATGAATAATGCTGCAGAATTATACTTTGGAAAAACTAGAAAAGTCTTCCGGAAACGTTACGGCTTGCAACAATGGGCTGTGCTGCACGCTTTCTTACTCTACGAGGGGGTCTTGAAGGACAGTTTTATTTAGGAGTATTCAATGGCACTTACAATATGTTTAACGTGTATCGCTGGTGCGAAGAGGAATGCGTCCTCGTTAGGTGCGATGACTTAAATGGTATTCCATGTGCTAGGCTTTCATTGAGATCCAGCACTGTCTTCGAA